CACCAACCACCCTAACTTTGTTGGTGCTGCTAAAGCCATGGCCACCGTGGTCGAGGAGAGACGCAGACAACGTGAGACGGAGCTGCAATCTCGCATGAGGATCGCCACCCTGAAGATCTTGAGCAAGCACCACAAGGAAACGGAAAGCTCCGATGACACCGAGACCGAGCTTCCCAACGGCCACATAGACTCGAAGGACATTGACATTGACCAGGTGGATGACGAAATAAAACCACCAGTTGTTCACAAGCACAAGAGAAGCGACTCTTCAAGAACACTGCACACTCACAAGTCGGACCTCGCCAGCCACGGTCACGAGTCGTACTTCAACTACTTCTTCGGCAAGGACCCCATCATGCATCAACAGCACTTGCAAGCGCAAGCTCAATTGAACCCAACTCCGTTCAAGTTCCCACTGCCACAGGAACCAACTTTGCAATTCAACAATAACTTCATCAATAACGGCGGTAACGTCCACGCCGATGTGAAGGGCCTCAGTCTAGAGGACCGTGCTCCTTCCCAGAGCCCCGTCTCGGAACAGGAGAACGGACATGTGCCACACCTTGAGCACGGAGAGGAGTCCAACCTCAATGAGCTCAATGAGCGTGAGCAGCTAGAATGCGAGTTGATCAGACGGTTGATTGTGTCGTACTTTGGCATTGTGCGTGAGATTGTCCAGGACCAGGTGCCCAAGTCGATCATGTGTCTTCTTGTCAACTACATCAAGACACACATCCAGAACAGGCTTGTGGTGAAGTTGTACAACGAGAAGTACTTTGACGAGTTGCTCCAGGAGGACGAGCTGATCCAGATGGAGAGGGAGAAGTGTATCAACTTGTTGAAGACCTACAGAGAGGCATCGAAGGTGATCAGCGATGTTGTGTAAAGCCTTTCATGTTTGCTTTTCCCATGTATATATATTAAGCTTTTTGCAGGTGCGGCCGGCTTGTCACGTAGAGATCTAGACTATCGATGATGCTGTTGTTGAGCAAGGCCAGCTTGTTCAACCGGTACGAAAGCGTCTTTTTGTCGTCGAGGACATTGTCCTCATCGTGGATAACACCCTCGTCTGGTTCCATGAAGGTGAACTTCAATTCCTTGGTTAGAAGAGCAGTTCTATTAGTATCTTTCGAAGTAACATCCACCTTTCTGTCTTCCAAAAAGTGTATATCGTCCTGGTCCCGTAGGTAGCCCAATTTGTACCGCAACGATGCCAAGTACCCTAGGGAAGCCACCACCTTACATTTCCACCTTGTCCCTATATCCTTAGATAGCTTATCGGAACCGTGCACAAACTTCAGCGGAAAAAGATACCTCAAAGGCTCCTGGAAAAGAATCTTTTGTAGCTCCTCCTTGACGTCCATGATGAGGTTTGTCAAGTCGTTATTCAGAAGCCTGAGCAGGTTGATAGACGAGAGCTTGATGATTGAGCGGTCATTGATTGCCACGGTGTTGTTCAGTATGATGCGTCGCCTGTTGACGAAAACCCTAATTGGAATTGACTGTCCAGGCGATACCTGGACGTAGGTTGTTGTACCAGGCATTCAGAAGAGTATCTGATCTTTTGGTGATAGTTGCGAAATGGTTGCGAAAAGGTGCAGAGAGGTGGGTACATGGGTGAGTTAGAGATACACAAGAAGTGGAAAGGTGAGGATTTGCGATTGGGTGAGATTTGGTAAAATTGCCAGAAATTGAAATAGAACGACCAGAAAACGGTATTTTGAAAGTGGGGAAGATACGCCGTATGGTAGTCCGTGGGGTGAGACGATAACACTACGATGGAACGATCAGTGCATCACATGGACCGAGATACGAGATAATGACTTTCCGCAAAGTCGATCTTGAAATCCTTCATTCTAAGCTTTTACTTTCTAAAAAAATTTCAAAACATTACTGTAAAAAGTCTCTTTCATCACTCCATTGCTTAACGCTCAGAAGCCTACTTCCAACGGCACTTTGATGTGGAGAAGCTTGTCACACCTTCAAACCAGAATTTCTTAAGTGTCTCCTCTTCTTGGCTGCAAATTCTCCAAAACCTCCATAACCTCCAACGTCTCAGTGCCAATGTGCCAAGGATTCACCGTTCTTCGAGTGACCGAGCTACTCCCCACCCTACTTCTACCTCCGTCAAAATGCCACAATGTCAAAATGCCACAACGCCGTCTACACTGCCTTTTCTCGTAATTCATAAGCATACCGTCTACAATCTGTACACGAAGTAGGGACTCTTGTCGCCCATCTTGACAAGCTCCTCGGACGAGGTGTCGTCGTACTTTCCAGCAGCAATGTCCTTCCGCTTCTTCCTGTTACTAAGCAAGTAGCCGGTCACAGCAATAAGAGAAGCAATAATTCCCATACACCCAAATCCAAGCTCCAAAGCATGGCCAAGCGTGTAGTGGGGAGCATCCTGGTCTCTGTAGAAGTTGGAAGCAAAAGCACCGGAGAAGTTGCCGAGTCCGATTTGGATCGCCATGCCAATGGCTCTCTTGAACGTACCTCCTAGATTATTGGCAAGCCAGATCACCGTCATGGGGAATCCAGCGGCTCCAATCGACAAAACAAACATGGCACCGTAGATGGAGTTAGCCTGGGTAATTGGTGAAAAGACCAAACACACCATGAAGCCCATGACGATACAGAGCAAGCTGAAAATCATAAACGGTGCTCTGTAGCCCACTCTATCGGAGAAGTAGGCCTGAACAACACAGATAATGGCACCACAGATGAACGGAGGAGCCAGCATAAGCTGCGCTTGAGTGGAAGTATATCCCAAGGCGAAAATGACCGATGGGGCAAAAAGAGCAATTCCGTAAAGCGGCACCAAAATACCCCAGCAGATGAAAAGCTGCACCCAGATCTGCCAGTCCTTGAACGCTTTCCAGATGTACTCCCTGCTGCCCAGCATATCCTCACCCACGGTCTTGGACAAGGACTCCTCGCCTGAACCAAGCATTTTCTTGTTTTCGGCGTTGGACGAGAACTTCACTCTCCACTGCACGAAACGGCGTTCCTTGTCCAGAAGGAAAGCACAGTCCTTGGGGTAGTTGGGGAACACCGAGTACGAGTAGACTCCAACGACAAAGGTGAGCAAACCCTCCAAAATGAAAATCCACCTCCAGCCTTCGTAGCCGCCTACTCCGTCCATCTGGGCAATTGCAGCCGCCAAAAGCCCCGAAAAAGCGCCCGCCACAGAAGCAGCACTGAAGAAAATGGCCTGTCTCATGAGAATCTCCGACTTCTTGTAGTACATGGACAAAATGTACGAGATACCGGGGAACAAGGGGGCCTCGAAAATCCCCAAAAGCGCCCGGCAGGCCAAAAGGTCCTCGTATTTTTGAACCGTTCCCATGAGCGTCATGACAATCGACCACAAGACCATGGTGGTGGGAATGAACCAGCGAGGCTTCACACGGTGCAAGAGCATGTTGGACGGAATCTCCAAGGAAGCGTAGAAAATAAAGAAAATCGTCAAGCACATGTTGTACTGGTGGTTCCGCAAGTTCAAGTCCTCTGCAAGCCCTTCGATTTTGGCATTGGCAATGTTACCTCTGTCCAAGAAACTGAGCAAGTACAAGACGGTGAAAAGCGGAAGAAGCCGCCAGTCCATGCGACGAAGCAACTTCTGCTCGTCAATATCCGAAAAATCCTCCGCTTCAGCCGTGTCAATTGGCTCCACATCAGCAACAACACCTTGTTTCTTCTCGACATCGTCGGAAAACTCCTCGTACGCCTTTCCTCCAAGGGAGGGGTCGCTAATATCGTCTTTTGCCGCCATTGCCAAATCAAATTAGCAAATACTATTTCTTTTATAGTCAGACCTGGCTATTCAGGATTCAGCCAAGGCGGTCCCCTCCATACTTGCCCTAAGACCCAAGAGCCGTGATGGCTGCGAAACTGGTGCTACAATGTGGGGGTTTCTATGTGCTCCTTCACACACCTTGGCATTGTTCCCAGATGTCCAGCCCACGCTGTAGATACGAGGCGTGTTGGGCCAGAGATGATTTTTTAAATTGCATTGTGGAAAAAAAGATCAAAGCCTTCGACGCTGGTAAGCGGCCTTTTCGAAACGCAACTTTAAACGCCCCATGGGGAAACCTGGGGTTCAAGCGGAGGAAAGCCAAGAAAGTGCTGCTTTGACATTGTAGATCGAAATACCTCTTGAGGAGACGGCGGAGATAGCTGAACAAACAGGGTATTTAGAGGTGTCCATGCAAAGGAGACGGCCCCACAGTTTGTCTTTTCCTTGTCACATTTCGGACTTTTGGGTGTCAAGAAGAAGAAGCCGTCACGCGGCTGTGCTACAAACTTCTACTAGAAAAGCTCAATTTTCAAGATTTTGTCTTCCCCCCAATGTGTTGATGTCACTTGCTGGTCATCTCCAATGCATTTCCACCGAATCCCTAAAGCGGGGGAACGTTGTCGTACCATAGCAGATCGCCTACTCCCCTCCCGTAGCGGTGATACAATATAGCTGGGCTGCCAAGGTGGACCGCTTGGGCTCGTACTTGCAGGTTGTGACGAGAGGCTGACCATTTTGGAGTGAGGCGGATTAGGCGATTTTGAGGCTTGACGGGAGGTGCTACATTGTGGTGATTTAGGGAGGGGAGCCGACGGATTTAGGGATGGCTGGTGAGTTTTAGGCAGTTTGGGTGGTTTAGGTGGTTGGTGGTTGTCTGGTCGTTTGGTTGTTTCAGGGATATACCGTGATGAATGATTGGCTATGGTATTTGGGTATTGGCATCTAGGGTAGTCCAGGGTGAGATCGACAAAGAGACTCATGAAATTGGCGAAGTGAATCGATGCTTGGATTGCGGGAAATTCTTTCATCAAGTCAAGAATCCAACACTTCCTTATCAGCCATGGACCTACACCGAGGGAGCCAGGCTCGGCAATTAGGCTTTTAGGTTCTGACTCTACATCCGCTTGAAGCCGTATCACCCCCTAAAACAAGCACCTGTTTCATGATTCGAGGATATGATGTTCTTTCTTCTTTGAACTATATGTCTACTGTTCAATGGTGCCCTGGTGATATCGTGCTCGGCTAGCCTTCCATTGCATACCCTAGCATGCATTTACACCAGCGGGCCACTTTTTAACCCAATTCCAAAAAATCTCCAAAACCCTCGACATTCTCCAATCTCTCCCGAAATTCGCCACCGTGAGCAAAAATCTTCTCTATCTTCACCAAGCCGTCTCCAGAACCCCAAAACAATGACTCACGGTTGATCGCGGCTATACCTTATCGCACCATAGTGAGCACCCGAAGTGCCCAAAATGCAGGCATTTTTCATAGAAATACCTTCTTATAAAAACTCCTCATCAAAGTAAACACCCTAAAACACCCATTTCACACCCACAGGTTCCACAAAAACAACACACCAAATTGGATCTCACGGTGGCTGCAAAAGATCGCGCCTCGATAACGTGGGCATGGCACTTGTATGCAGTACCCGCAGTTACCCACTATAGATAACATAACCATCACGGACCCTGACCTCCCACCTACTTCTTCTTCCGATTCCCCCTTCCCTTGCGATATCCTATTTATACTACTAGAAATGCCACTGTTGGTGAAAGTGTACGTGACGCCTCGGCCTTCCCTATCTGGAAGACCCTCCCCAACCCCTCCTTCTCCATACTAACCTCAGACCAACAAACCCCAAGCGTGGTCACCGTCTTGGTACATTTAAGGCCACCTGGAACAAACTCAAAGCGGCCACGCTTGATAACTCCGGAGTTACCGAGAATGGCGCCGTCACAGACTCGGATCTGCCCAATCAGGAGGAGCCCCTGAACCTCAACGGCACAAACGGCTCAGCCAAACCAGAGTCCAAGGCCCAGTCCAGGATCGTGGAATTCGGGCCTCGAGGCGAAATGTGCGTCTATTACCCGGATCAAATGGTGCTTGAGCTCTGGGACTGGTGTTCGCCAAACACCCAGGCTTATCGGGGTGACTCTCTCAACTTGATACGAAGTGTCTCCTTGAACAAGCAATTGGTCGCCCTCAAGGTTGGTGACTTTGCAGGGCTTCCTGGCGTTGTCTTCACGACAAGTGATACCGTGCACATGTACATTCATGGCTATAAGGAGCAGTACCTGGCCCTCCCCTCCTACTTCAAGGCACCGCATACAATCAAGCTATCTCGTGAGTTGTTAACGATCGGCTCTGCAAACGGCTACATCTGTATCTTGAATTTCCGCCAAAATACGGGTATCAGGCTCGACCCGTACGAGCTGCACAACATCCACCAGAATATTACGAGGCCCATCGCTGATAAGGAGGGTATCACCACCGATTGGCTATTCCTCAAAGCATGCGTCTCCAATGATGCCCCCATCTATGATTTGCAAGGCTCTTGGCTTGTGTACTGTCCCACCAAGACGGAGATGGACCACCAGAGACACCTCCTCCATTCACACAGTAACTCGACCAAGAAGAAAGAGTCTCGCCTGGAATGTCTCTTTACAGACGTGAAGCTTCCCCCCTCAGGCCCACTTCTCATGCGTGTTGTCTCGTCCATATCCGGCTCGGCACTCGATAAGCTCTACGCCCTTTCTGAAACGGGGTCGAAGACAATTCGTGAGTACTGGCTGAAACCCAAAGGAGCCAAGAGCAATATCTTGGACAAGGATGTGTCGCTTCATTCGATCAGTAACAACATCAGCCAGACCCTATACTCCACCGCCAACAAGATCAAGAAACTGACGCAAGATTCAGGTGAGCACAAGTACATTCGTCTCATAAATCTTCACAACGGGCAGATGATTGCTACCTTTAAACCCCCTGGTGGGGTGTCACATTTGTCGCTCAGTCCGTATGATCTCCAACTTGTTCAGGCCAGCGCCAAAGGAGATGCATTTTACCTCTGGGATCTTTACAGATTGCCAAAGGAAGCTTCCTTGGTGGGCAAGTTTGTCCGTGGCAATACGAGTGCAACCATCAATGATATTTGCTGGTTTGTGAATTCCGAAGGCCCAGGTTGCAGCGACGGTACCAACGCCGGTTTTGGCTGTATCTCCAAGAAGAGTGGCTCGCTTCACTGGTATAACATAAACTACTTGTCGCGTGGAATAGAGTCCAACAACCATCCTAACAAACTTGGAGGTAAATCCAGAGGATTCTCGAGTGATCAATTCCTAGACTCGTGGGTATTGCCGTCCATTGGAGCGTGTAGGTTTGTGAAGCTTCCTAAAGTGTCCAATCTCCCATCTCGCTTGAGTGAAGAGCTGACGTTGGATAAGAAATTGTTCGAGATGGATCAACTCGCGTTCTACGACAAAACTGGCGACTTGAGATTGGTGTCACCCTTGAATGGTAAGCACACATTCAAATACGTGTTGCCAAAAGAATCGCTGCAAAAACCAGTGGCTCAAGAGTTATCGGGTATCTTCCCATTCCCCCGAGCGACTGGTCCAAGCAAAGAGGACAAGAAGTTCGAGACACCTTTGTCTCAGACGGAGATAGAAACATGTGCCCAATATCTCAGTGTTATCAATGATAAGCGATTTGAGCTTTCCACTTTTGAGCTCGCTGGCGAGAAGGACATTTTCGACTACCTCGAGGACTTTGGGCTGGATATCCCAACAAGAAGAGTAGATTTCAGAGGTGCACCACAGCCACAGCTGCCGGTACTAAATGGAGACTCTGTCGCTGCGCTTGATAAAGGATTGTTGATCAATCCTGAAATATCTGGAGAAGAACTTAGTTGACGGTTTGATGCAAGTTATAATATTATTATACAATTTAACTGTCCCATAAGGCTTAGAAGAACAACCTGATTAACTCCAAGATTGCACCGCCGCAGATCAAGAAGGTCAAGACGAAAATCCACGTTTTTGACACTGGAAACTCGGTCTTCTTCTTAACGTCTCTAGGCTTACCCTGCTTGTTAACGTTCTTTTTAGCGAACTTGTTGTTGGCTTGCCTCTGCTTTGCGGTTTGTTGCGGCTATATGTTAGTTCGTTCTAGAATCCGTTGCTATTTTAAACATACCATGACGAAGTTGGCGTTTGTTGATCAACTGGACACGTTAATATGCGGGTTCAATGGAGAATCATGGAGGTGGGTGATCTGTGCAGGAATTGCTTATTTTGGCTCGCTAGATCGTTTTTTATGATTTGACTCGGCTGTTGATGCCAGGGGTCGTTTTTGCAAACTGGTGAAAGAGAGATCATCGTGATTATACTAAGAATACGCTCGTCGGAGCTGGCCTCGTTGAGGAGCGTGTACATATTTATAAAAAAAGAATACTTATAGAATGCGCTCGAGAAATGGAGTCTCCAGCCGCGTAAAAAAAAACTAGCGCAGCCAGGTTTCGATCCTGGGACATCAGGGTTATGAGCCCTGCGCGCTTCCACTGCGCCACTGCGCTCTTCGAGCACGTAAAAGTGTCGCGGAGTGCAATATGTATAGGTGTTTTAAGCGTATATGCAGTCAGTTTAGTCGTTTTATATGCAGGCTTTTTATAGTTTTGCAACCAATATCCCCATCAGTGAACCAAACATTCATTCTTTTCGAATTTTGGAAGTTTTCTCAAGTGTCATGATTATTGACTCCCCAAAATACGGCAGAATCACTAATTACCCGGGTCAAACACGTTTCTCGTATTCGGAAGGTACTTACCCGTCTCTAGCCGGCTAATGGCGGCCAGCTTTTCCGTACTTTAAATAAATTCCATATTCGACGCCACGCTTATCGCTTATCTGACTCCTCCTGTACTAAGCCAACTTCACTGGCATATACGTTTTCTGGAAGCTCCCTTCAATAATTGCACCCACTCAACATCCATCAGAGTCAGACCAAACATTATTATCAAGAACCAACGCCGTCGGACCAATAACAAAGAAGTCAAACAAACACCCCATTTCTCAACAGCCATTCACAATCTATTCTCGTACCCAAAATCACCCGATTGTTCTTCCCGCATTCTGCCCGTTCATTGACTGCACCGATTCTGCGATCCTCGTAAATCGGCAAAACCCCGCCATATATAAAATCGATTATCTCTATTGTCGCCAGCTTGCCTCTACCACCTACTTTACGAAAACAATCGTTTTTAAATTCCCCACACCTATTGTCGCAACATTGTCATATTAATCGACATCGCCCTTAACGGCCTTCCTGCATACCCTGCTACCGTTTACTGCCCTGCAGTTCCTATCAGTCTGACTTCTCCAAACCACCTCAATTCTTTACATTGAAGTGTTGAAATGTCCCATCCTTGGTACAACCTTCCCCTAGACATACAATGTAGGGTTTTGGAGTACCTTTCGTTGAATGAAATTGCTGCGGCGGTACCGCTGTGCCCTAACATTGAGCCTAATCTAAACGCATTGCAAGCTAGATTGGCTCGGCGTCACATTGTGTTGACAAATCGACAACGGCAGCCGCTTCTACTTGAGCAGTATAGTCCGGCGTTTTTTTCGGAGTCCGATTTGGAGTATGTGGGACCCAGGGAAGCCGTGGATCTATTGAGCTGCATACCAACAGACAAATGCATCACTTTGCTGTATGTGGTGTGGCACCTGTACGACGTGACTGATCTTCTTGAGCTCGTTGAAAGACTCCCGAGAAACGGTCGTTTTGTTGTGGAGATCGAGTTCGATCCGAGTGTACCTCATGTCTATGACTTATCTATGGTAGTAGATCAGCTCCACCTATGTTTGGGTGAAAGCCTCGTGGGATTGGCCATAAGGAACTTTGCTGGAGATCTAGAGCTCGATATGCATAAGCTTTCGTCGCTAGAGGCGCTTCTGCTCATCAATAACAACGTTACATTCACTACGTTATTCGACAAGAACGACAATCTTCGGGAATTGACCTTGCATCCGAACTGCGATGGCTTTACAAGAAACAACCCCGCTGAACTAGGGCAGCTGCTTCCGAGAAACCTTAGGAAACTCCGCTTGGGTCAGGCAGTTGTGGTGCACCCTTCTCTCGAGTTCGACATACCAATGAACATCACCGACTTGTCCTTGTTCATCGTCAGGGATGCCACCTTGAAGTTTCTTCCGACAATTGTGGAAAGCAGCCAATGTCTACGTGAGTCCTTCGTTTATCAATCGGGCTTGGCTGAATGCTCTGTTCATGCACACTACGAGCACATTCTGTGGCTTCTACAGAAGGAAACGCAGCTTACTAAGGTGGCGCTTACCAGTATCAAAAACGAGAGTGGCGTTTGGGACCTACGAAAGTACGAGCTGTTGCGCAGCATCCAGATCTCAAAGAGCAACATCCATCTGATCGATCTACCGCCTCAGGTGGTGAACTTGAACTTGTCAGACAACAACATCACCGACCTTGTGGAAACGGTCTTTTGCAAGCTTTCCCTGAAACTTTTGACCCTCGATGTTTCCGGTAATCCTGCCGAGTGGAGCCAACATGACTATGCTGAGTTTCCGAAATCTCTCGTCGATCTCAGGATGGCCAACTGCAACATCGGCACAAGCATCGACATTTTCAGATTTCCTACCAACCTCGAGAGGCTCAATCTCGAGCGAAACAGCATAGTTCTGATTGACGGTGTCAAGCTTCCTAATCCATCTAGGCCATTTACACTAGAACTAGCATGCAATTTACTCACTGATGTCCATAATATTCGCTTCCCAAAAACCACCAAAAAGCTCATGTTCTGTGAAAACAAGCTTCGGGGCCTGTTGGATGTTTCCCAAGATATATTTGGTGAACCGACACAGATCGAATGGCTCCTGCTTAGCAACAACTGCATTGAATCTCTCGCCGATGTGAGACTTCCACATACGCTTCGAATCTTTGAGATGGACCGCTGTCCTCTCAATAGTCTTGAAAACGTGCTTTTCCCATCGTCGTTGGAAGAGCTCATCCTCGTTGGCTGTGATATCTCCAGTATCAAGAACGTCGCCTTTGAAGAAGATTCCCGTCTTGTTCGGATCGACTTGACTCACAACCGTATAGACGCTGAGAGCCTAAGCCGTTTGAAGCTCCCACCCGGTATCAAGCTGATACTTCTCGGTGCAAACCGCATAGAAGCTTTAGATGTTGCCTACCTCACACAGTTCAGTGACCTTCGCTGCTTCAGCATTCCCTCCAACCGACTTCGCCAGGTCTCTCTTCAGGTACCAGGAAACATCAGACTACTTGATCTCGCCAGAAACAAAATCAAAGACGTCGAGCTTCGGTTTCCTCCAAACATCAACACTCGACTTGGAGCAGTCAACCTTCTGCGAAACATGCTCAGCAGCATGGACCCCTCGATGCTCGGCCACGGCGTCAATGGAACGTTGCATTCCAATCTTATCGAGCTCGATCTTTCAGGCAACAAGCTCAATGCTGGATTCCTCGAAGGATTCCCGAGCCTGCTTTCATGCGTCTTTCTAAACGGTCTGGGTATCACTGACCGGTACGGCTACGACATTGGCGCCAACATTTTGGGCCATGGCTACTGCATGGGCAAAAGAATAGAAACGTGAAGATGTTGATCATGTAAATAGTCCCGAAGTGGCATGGCTTCCGAAGAAGGCCTTTCAGGGTGGAGATGACCTGGTTGATATTCCAACAGCGAAAGTGTTCTCCTGTGCCAGTTTAAACTGGTGGTAAACGAATACCTCCAGGGCGCACGAGAAGGCATACGCGTTGGGCCTACAGTGTACTTCAAAAAAGACGTGTATTGGTGTGGGTTGAAATCAAGAGTGAAAATCTCATCTAGTATAGGTAGCGGCGGGTAACTCGTGTTGTATGCAGGTTGGTGCCATCGAGCCAAAAGCACCAACCCTGGAACCTGAATATGAATAGATCAGTACGTCATTAGAGTTGATTTGTAGTTTGTGGAAAATAGAGCAGAAGATCGGACATGTTGAGAGATTAGTTTTGATGACATCTTGTCTTAGAACACAGAATCAATCAGATCTAGCCTCGTGGCCAGACTTCTTTAAAATCAGCGTAACGGGCCCATCCAAATAATTTAATATCCATTTTCAATGTCTAATCTTGCTGCTTTTTTCCTGATCTGACTTTCCTGCAATCTCAAGATACTTGTGTGTATCATGTTACATGAATCAACAGGATGACCACCTCGTTTTCACTTTTTCGCAGCCATTTCAAGATCACCGCATATTATGCTAACTTAGGTGAAGGTAAATAAGATTGAAACTAAAGACTAGAAGCAATTTATGAAAGTTACAAAAGAAGAAAAAGACTCCTTTATCGACAGGAGACGGCCTTCGTAGCTCACCGAACTATCAGCGTGTTACCAACAAAAGCCCTTACCACAGCCATTTGACCTGCAATACGAACAATACGCTAAATCTAAAGATCACAAAACTCCCAATAGAAAGCTCGCCATAGAAATAATTCATAAGCAACCCATGCGAGTAATTTGCCCACATCCGCAGCAGAGCTTAGTTGGGCCTATTGTTGGCATCAGACAGGCCTAGGCTTAGACAGACGCATGAGAAACATCAGGTCCAAAAAACCCCTTAATTAGCGTAGAAGCTACAGAAAATTAACCAGATCTTGGAATCCTAAAATCTTGGTTCCGTCGGTCCAGATCGAATTAAGACCGAGGGTCTTGGCCAAAACCGTTGAGACTTTTTTCCTCCATGCAATGAGGGAGAATACACCCAACGATGTTGCACAAACAAAACGTTTTTCCCAGAATTTTTCAAAGAACCTTCATAATTCTTATTCCCAACCAAAACGATCTAAATATCTACCTCCTGAAGAGCTTCCCTTGGTAGATGGCTCGGGTTAGGAGGTGGTAGGGACCTGCACATTGTACCCCAACAAACACGACCCAGTTTTTCCGCCAGACCCAAAGCCAACACTGCCCGTCCTGCAGACACTATGCGCTACACATATATACTCCGGGACCGAGCCTTTTTGCACCCATTTTTGCAACCGTTATTACCTCCACAATGAAGGCCGAAATCGAACAGGAGCTTTCACACGTCCTTTTGACCGAACTTCTCGCATACCAGTTCGCCTCGCCCGTGCGCTGGATCGAGACCCAGGATGTGTTTTTGAAAGACCACAATACTGAAAGAGTCGTGGAGATCGGTCCTTCTCCAACCTTGGCTGGCATGGCCTCCAGAACAATTAAAGCCAAATACGAGTCCTACGACGCCGCTCTTTCCTTGCAGCGTCAGGTTTTGTGTTACGCCAAGGACCCCAAGGAGATCTACTATACCCCAGACCCACCAGCAGAGGAGCCCCAGGAGACCAAAGAAGAACCAGTTTCTGCTCCAGCTGCTACCCCAGCTGCTCCAGCCGCTGCTGCTGCTCCAGCGCCAGCTCCAGCCGCCGGACCAGTGGAATCCATTCCAGATGAGCCCGTCAAGGCCTCGCTTCTTCTCCATGTGTTGGTGGCTCAGAAGCTCAAGAAACCATTGGACGCCGTGCCCATGGCTAAACCAATCAAAGACCTCGTCAACGGTAAATCGACAGTGCAAAATGAGATTTTGGGTGATTTGGGCAAGGAGTTCGGCTCCACCCCAGACAAGCCCGAGGACACTCCCTTGGAGGAGTTGGCTGAACAGTTCCAGGATACGTTTTCCGGCTCCTTGGGCAAAACGTCCACTTCGCTTATTGGCCGTTTGATGTCGTCGAAAATGCCCGGTGGATTCTCCATCACCAACGCCAGAAAGTACTTGGAGTCCCGCTACGGCCTTGGCTCTGGAAGACAGGATTCTGTGCTTTTGATGTGTTTGACCAACGAACCTGCTGCTCGTTTGGGCAGTGATGCCGAGGCCAAGGAGTTCTTGGACCTGGTTGCTCAGAAATACGCTTCCCGTGCTGGAATTTCCCTCACATCTGCCTCTTCTGGAGGTGCCGCTGCTTCTGGCGGTGCAGTTATCGATTCTGCTGCTTTGGACGCCATGTCTGCTGAAAACAAGGCTCTTGCTAAACAACAGCTTGAAGTTTTGGCCCGCTACCTCCAGGTCGACCTCAACAAGGGCGCCAAATCGTTTATCAAGGAGAAGGAAGCCGGTATCATCCTACAGAAGGAGCTCGACTTGTGGGAAGCCGAACACGGCGAATACTACGCTAAAGGTATCCAGCCGATTTTCTCCAACCTCAAAGCCAGAACGTACGACTCGTACTGGAACTGGGCCCGTCAGGATGTGTTGCTGATGTGGTTTGACATCATTTTCGGTAAGTTGACCTCTGTGGACAGAGAGACCATCAGCCAGTGTATCCAGATCATGAACAGAGCTTCCCCTACGTTGATCAAGTTCATGCAATACCACATTGACCACACGCCAGAGTACAAGGGTGAAACATACCAATTGGCCAAGAGACTCGGTCAGCAGTTGGTGGACAACTGTAAGCAGGTTTTGGATGTGGATCCCGTTTACAAGGACGTTTCCAGAATCACCGGACCCAAGACCACCGTTGACGCCAAGGGCAAGATCGTCTACAACGAGGTCAACAAGGAGTCTGTTCGTAAGTTCGAGCAGTACGTCTATGAGATGGCTCAAGGTGGAAAATTGACCAAGAGAGACGCCCAGCCCACGATCCAGGAGGATTTGGCCAGAGTGTACAAGGCCATGACCAAGCAGGCGTCCGTTTCCAAGTCCACCAAGCTCGAGCTCGAGAAGTTGTACAAGCAATTGACCGACTTCATGGACCAGTCCAAGGAGATTGAAACTGCCCAGGTGACCAAGGATGCTTTGAGCCGCCGTTCTGGAACCGAGACTCCTACTGACGAGGACGAGACGGCTTCCAGCGACGACGAAATCGCCTCTTTGCCTGACAAGACCTCCATTTTGCAGCCAGTCTCCTCCACCATTCCTTCCCAGACCGTTCCATTTTTGCACTTGCAGAGAAAGACCAAGCAGGGCTGGGAATACGACCCCAAGTTGTCCTCGATGTACTTGGACGGTTTGGAGAGCGGTGCCGTCAACGGTTTGACTTTCAAGGACAGATACGTTTTGGTCACTGGAGCTGGTGCCGGATCTATTGGTGCTGAGATCTTGCAAGGCTTGATTTCCGGTGGTGCCAAGGTTATCGTCACCACTTCCAGATTCTCCAAGAAGGTCACCGAGTACTACCAGGCCATGTACTCCCGCTACGGTGCCTCCGGGTCCACCTTGATTGTGGTTCCTTTCAACCAGGGCTCCAAGCAGGATGTGGATGCTCTTGTGGACTACATCTACGACGCCAAGAACGGTTTGGGCTGGGACTTGGACGCCATCATTCCATTTGCAGCCATTCCTGAGAACGGCAATGGTTTGGACAACATCGACTCCAAGAGTGAGTTGGCCCACAGAATCATGTTGACCAACTTGTTGCGTCTTTTGGGTGCCGTCAAGGCCAAGAAGACCACCGACACCCGTCCCGCCCAGGTTGTGTTGCCCTTGTCGCCTAACCACGGTACCTTTGGTTTCGACGGTCTCTACTCCGAGTCCAAGATCTCGTTGGAGACATTGTTCAACAGATGGTACTCTGAGGACTGGTCCACCAAGCTCACCATTTGCGGTGCCATTATCGGCTGGACCAGAGGAACTGGTCTCATGAGCGCCAACAACATCATTGCCGAAGGTATCGAGAAGATGGGTGTGAGAACCTTCTCCCAGAAGGAGATGGCCTTCAACATCTTGGGTTTGTTGACCCCACAGGTGGTCAACTTGTGCCAGGAGCAGCCTGTCATGGCCGACTTGAACGGTGGACTCCAGTTTATCGAGAACCTCAAGGAGTTCACCTCCAAGTTGAGAACCGACTTGGTGGAGGATGCAGATGTGCGTAGAGCTGTTTCCATCGAGCAGGCCATTGAACAGAAGGTTGTTCACGGTGACGCTGTGGATGCTCTCAACTCCAAGGTGACCGTCCAGCCTCGTGCCAACATGACCTTCAGCTTCCCTGACATGAAGAGCCACGAAGAGGTCAAGAAGGTCGCTCCTGAGTTGGAGGGCATGTTGGATCTCGAGCTGTTGATTGTGGTGACTGGTTTTGCCGAAGTCGGTCCATGGGGTAACTCCAGAACCCGTTGGGAGATGGAGGCCAAGGGCGAGTTCTCTTTGGAAGGGTGCATTGAGATGGCCTGGATTATGGGCTTGATCAAGTACCACAACGGTCCACTTAAGGGCAAGCCTTACGCTGGATGGGTTGACGCTAAGACCCAGCAGCCTGTTGACGACAAGGACGTCAAGGCCAAGTACGAGGAGCAGATCTTGGAGCACTCTGGTATCCGTCTTATTGAGCCTGAGTTGTTTGCGGGCTACGATCCAGAGAAGAAGCAGATGATCCAGGAGGTGGTTGTTCAGCACGACATGGAGCCATTCGAGGCTTCTAAGGAGACCGCTGAGCAGTACAAGCACCAGCACGGCGACAAGTGTGAGATCTTTGAGATTGAAGAGACTGGCGAGTACACGGTGAGAATCTTGAGCGGTGCTACTTTGTACGTGCCAAAGGCGCTTAGATTCGACCGTTTGGTTGCTGGCCAGATTCCAACCGGTTGGGATGCCAGAAACTACGGTATTCCAGAGGACACCATTTCCCAGGTGGACCCCATCACCTTGTATGTGCTTGTTTCGACCGTGGAGGCCCTCTTGTCTGCTGGTATCACCGACCCCTACGAGTTCTACAAGTACGTCCACGTTTCTGAGGTCGGTAACTGTTCTGGTTCCGGTATGGGTGGTGTTTCTGCTCTTAGAGGCATGTTCAAGGACCGCTACAAGGATGCACCAGTGCAGAACGACATTCTCCAGGAATCCTTTATCAACACCATGTCTGCTTGGGTGAATATGTTGTTGCTTTCTTCTTCCGGTCCTATCAAGACGCCCGTCGGTGCCTGTGCTACCGCTGTGGAGTCGGTGGATACCGGTATCGAGACCATCCAGTCTGGTAAGGCCAAGGTGTGTATTGTTGGAGGCTACGACGATTTCCAGGAGGAAGGCTCATACGAATTCGCCAACATGAACGCTACTTCAAACGCCGTGGACGAATTTGCCCACGGCAGAACCCCATCGGAAATGTCCAGACCAGCCACCACCACCAGAAACGGTTTCATGGAGGCCCAGGGCTCGGGTATCCAGGTGATCATGACCGCCGACTTGGCCATCAAGATGGGTGTTCCTATCTACGCCGTTTTGGCCATGACCGCCACCGCTACCGACAAGATTGGCCGTTCTGTTCCTGCTCCAGGTAAGGGTATCTTGACCACCGCCAGAGAGCACCACGGCTCGTTGAAGTACCCATCTGCCATGATGAACATCAAGTACAGAAACCGCCAGTTGAAGCAGAGATTGGCCCAGATCGCCGCCTGGGAGGAGTCTGAAATCGACTTTTTGGGTGACGAGGCCGAGTTGGCTAGAGAGGACTTTGGTGCTGAGTTTTCCATCGAAGACTTCACCAGAGAGAGAGCCGAGGAGATCCGCCGTGAAGCCGCCAGACAGGTTGCTGACGCTAAGAAGCAGTGGGGTAACAACTTCTACAAGGCCGACCCTCGTATTGCTCCATTGAGAGGAGCCTTGGCTACTTTTGGCTTGACCATCGACGACTTGGGTGTGGCTTCCTTCCACGGTACCTCCACCAAGGCCAACGACAAGAACGAGAGTGCCACCATCAACGAAATGATGAAGCACTTGGGCAGAGCCGAAGGAAACCCAGTGTTTGGTGTTTTCCAGAAGTACTTGACCGGTCACCCCAAGGGTGCTGCTGGAGCGTGGATGTTGAACGGAGCCATCCAGATTTTGAACTCGGGTATTGTGCCTGGTAACAGAAACGCCGACAATGTCGACAAATTGTTGCAGGACTTTGAGTACGTCTTGTACCCACTGAGATCCATCCAGACCGACGGCATCAAGGCTGTTTCGGTCACTTCCTTCGGTTTCGGCCAGAAGGGTGCCCAGGCCATTGTCGTCCACCCAGACTACCTCTACGCTGTGTTGGACAAGAACACCTACAACGACTATGCCTCCAGAGTCACTGCCAGAAACAAGAGAGCCTACAGGTACATGCACAATGCCATCACCAGAAACTCCATGTTCAAGGCCAAGGACAAGGCGCCATATGGCGACGACTTGGAGCAGCCTGTGTACTTGGACCCATTGGCTAGAGTTGAGGAGAGCAAGACCGGCCTTGTTTTTTCCAAGAAGGGCGTCCAGGCTGAAAAGGCCTATGTTTCCGCCAACTCCGAGGCTACCGCCAAGGCATTGGCCACTTTGAACAACGGCTCCAAGGGCGTTGGTGTTGATGTTGAGTTGCTTTCGGAGTTGAACCTCGAGAATGAGACTTTTATCGAGAGAAACTTCACCGAAGCAGAGATTGCCTACGCCAACAAGGCCGCTCATCCCAAGGCCAGCTTCACTGGCACCTGGTCTGCCAAGGAGGCTGTTTTCAAGGCCTTGGGCGTCAAGTCCCAGGGTGCTGGTGCAGCCTTGAAGGACATTGAGATTGTGAGAGGCTCCAACGGTGCTCCTCAGGTTGTTTTGTCTGGAGAGGCCAAGAAGGCTGCTGCTGCTGCGGGCGTGAAGAATGTGAATGTTTCTATTTCTCACGATGACTTCCAGGCCACCGCCGTTGCCCTCAGCGAGTTCTAGGTTATGTATGTGAATTTAGTGTGATATAAGCAAGTGTAGTGATTAGTGGGAGAGATTTAAAGAATTGGGATCTAGAGGGTGTAAAATTGTGAGTTTTAAAAGTATGGATGTCATGGAATAGAGAATAACTCGATATGTGTGGATTTTTCAGCTTGGTGTTGCAACCATTACAATAAGCATGAAGCTGGTGAGATCGAAGCTGATGAGATCGAAGTTGATGAGATCTAGGGTAATCCACATCGGCCGAGGTAACACAATCCTCAGAACTCTTCTCAACAACTCAATTGATGATTTTTTCATGTGAGCAATTTTTACCGAACAAATAAACTTTCCCAATTACGTGTCAATTGTAATACCGGAACGGCTACTCCATTGTAGTATACTGTGCCCAGGAATGGCTGCGAAAAGCCAACCAGATACGATTTAACACACTATTCGTTTCGCTTACGGTCATGATTTGGTTTAATTTCATCAAAACTCGCCAATCCTCAATTAACCTGAAAGTCTTTCCATGCTTCGGATTTCGGAGTGTAGGGCTGTGATAATCGGATAACAACGGCCAATAGCCCAGAGCACCCAATTGGGTTTTGCAAGCGATCCCCTCAATTGACATTGAATTCACATCTTATCCGATACTTAAAAGTGAACAGAATCAACAGAAAACAACAAAAGTGACTCTAACTCGTGGTGGTACGGGGTGGGTGGTTCTTGGGTGCCGTGCTGTCTGCAGTGCCGGCCCACATACACAAGAAAAACCCCAGAGTGCGGGACAAAATACAGAAAAAAAGCGGTATCTAAAAGGACAGATCGGCCTTATTCCAACACAGAGGCCATATTGCCCAAGGCTTCCCACGCGACTAAACTTTGCCGCTCAACTAAATTCACCCCATTGAACGATCTGTGATTTTCAAATTACACATTGAAGAGGCGCTGACTAACTTAGAACAGCCTTTGGGTCAAATAATACCATGAGTGAAAGTGAACAACCGAAGGTTCTGAACGAGGAATCGAGACCCGAGGAGGTCCCAGTTGTGGCAGAGACCAGCACGCCTCAAGAAGAAGAGGTTGCTTCGAAATCTGACCCAATTGAAGAGGATCAACTGGAATCCAAGGACAATGAAGAAACCGAACCCACCCAGAGTGAAGACGTGAAGGAGGCTCCTGAAGAGAATGACGAGGCCGTCGAGTCAGCAGAGGCTAAAGCCGAGCAGGCAGACGACGAATCCAGTCCTGCTGAGAATGGTGTCCAGGAAACACTGACCCCAGAGGTGACTAAGCCCGAGGAAGACGGCAAACCTGCTGAGGAAGCAGTCGCCGAGAACGCTCAGGACGACGACGCCTCCAAGGAAAACGGCTTTGCACACGACAAGCCATTGCCTGAAATCAACATCGCTGGAACCTCGGAACAGGCCCAAGAGGCTACCAAGGAGCCCGAGGTTCCAACCAAAAAGTACTTCAACGCCACCGTTGATAACATCCAGATATTCAACAAGACATTTGAGCATATCCTTGGCAGCAAGGAGGCCAAAAAGAACGATCAATTGAAGAACGCGACCCAGAAGGCCATCGATTCATTGAACAACCTGTCTTCTAGAGACCCACACGTTATGTTCGACGCTTTGAAAATGGCTTGTGAGTTGGGAAACCACGAATTGAAGAAAAACGCTGTTGACTTGTTTGCCAAGTTGTTCGACTACGCTCTGTTTGAGGACGAGAGCGACAGAGTTAAGCTTACCGATGCATCGGTTGACGTGGTGTCTGCTTGCTTCGAGGGCGAAGGCACCGATCCTGAAGTGGAGTTGCAAGTGGTCAGAGCCTTGATGCACAGCATTCTACTAATGCCAACCCACGGCGCGTCTCTTCTAAAAGCAGTGAGGCAAATCTACAATGTGTTCATCTTCTCGCTCACCCCACGGAACCAGGCTGTTGCGCAGGGTATTTTGACTCAGGTGATTGGCGCCATCTTCCAAAGAGTTCAGGAGTCTTTGGCAAACAAGTCAAGGATGTCCAAGTCCAGCAGTAATTTTAATCTCAAGCTGGACGAGGCCCCAACAGAAGACGATGAGCCCAAAGAGAAACTCACCTTGGCTGCTTTGGAGAACAATTCTAGCCTAGATCTGGAACGCGTCAATGAGGCTAACTTGGCCTCTGAAAATGACGAGGACTTGGCTGTGAAAGATGCATTCTTGATTTTCAGAGCAATGTGCAAGCTCTCCATCAAGGACCTTGATACCGACAATGTCGACATGAAGTCACACTCTGTTCGCTCCAAGCTTCTCTCGCTACACATTATCCACACCATCTTGAAAGAGAACATTGATATCTTCTTGAGCAAAGACGTGGTAATCCTTTCGTCCAATTCTGACGACAGAACACGCTTGATCGATGCAGTTCGCTCATACTTGTGTCAAGCTTTGATCAAGAACGCCGCTTCTCCTCTTGCTCCTATCTTCGAATTATCGCTTGAGATCTACTGGCTTTTGATCTCCAACTTGAGATCCGACTTCAAGATGGAAATTCCTGTCTTCTGGGAACAGATTTACATGCCTGTTGCCGAGATGAAAACATCAACGCCTCACCAAAAACGCTACTTGCTTTCAATCATTGAGCGTCTTTGCAGTGACTCGCGTTGCCTCATAGAATTCTACCTCAATTACGACTGTGACAGCGATCAACCTAATATTTGTGAAAAGATCATTGATTTGTTGACAAAGTTGTCGTTGTCCCGTGTTGAGGTCACATCTACCCAAAAGGCTGCTTACCGTGAGAACGGCCGCAAGGGTATTTCTTTGTACGATATCAGCAAGATTGCCAATTTGACAAGTTCAACTATGTCTTCCAAGCCACCAGAGCCTGATATCTACAACAGCTTCCCCCTCGAATACGCCATGAAAATGTCTTCCATTAACTGTACCGTGGCATTCTTGAGATCACTCTATTCATGGGCTCAAAAGAGTATCAGCACTTCCAACAAGCTCAACAATGGCTTGAATGGCTCTAGAACCAGTCTCAACGCGGGCAGGACCTCGAACGGTGAGTCTCCAAACTCCAGCCAAATCACTTCAAGGAATGCTTCATTTGTTGGACCATCTAGTAGTGCCGAGCCTTCAGAGATCAACGACGACCCCGAACAATTTCAGAACCTGAAGCAAAGAAAGAAGGCTTTCTTGGAAGGTGTAAGACAATTCAATCAGAGACCAAAGAAAGGCATCAAACAATTCATCGAGAACGGCTTCATCAAGTCAGATGATCCTGAAGAAATTGCATTATTCCTTCTTAACTCAGAGAATTTAAGCAAGGCAGCTATCGGCGAGTTCCTTGGTGAGGGCGACGAGAAGAACGTCGCAATCATGCATGCTTTCGTCGATCAGATGAACTTCAACAGTACGGGTTTTGTGGATGCCATGAGGACATTTTTGCAGTCTTTCAGATTGCCAGGTGAGGCTCAGAAGATCGATAGATTCATGTTGAAGTTTGCTGAAAGATATGTTCTTGGAAATCCAGGTATTTTCTCGAATGCAGACACGGCTTATGTTTTAGCCTATTCCGTTGTGATGTTGAACACCGATCAGCACTCCCCTCAAATCAAGAACCGTATGTCTGTGGACAGCTTTGTTGCCAATAATAGTGGTATTGATGACGGAAAGGATCTTGACAGGGAATTCCTCGAAAAGATTTACTACGAGATCCAGCAGAATGAGATCAAGTTGCAATCTGAGCAACATGCGGCGCTTCTTTCTGGTGACCCCTCCGTGGCTCCAGTCACATCAGTTGGCTTTTTCGGCGGTAGAGACTTGACAAGAGAGGCATATTTGCATGCTTCCAAGGAAATGTCTACCAAAACTGAGAAGCTTGTGAAGAATTTGGGCAAGAAGATGAAGTCCGATGATCCACTGGGTTCCGTGTTCCATGCTGCCTCGCATGTTATTCACGTAAGAACCATCTTTGAGACATTGTGGATGTCTATTTTGGCTGGTTTGACTCCTCCTTTCAAGGAATATGATGAGGATGATATCACCAACGTCTGCCTTGAGGGTATCAAGCTTTCTATCAAGATCGCGTGCATGTTTGATATCTCATACGCAAAGAAATCCTACATCAGCGCTTTGGTGCAATTCCAAAGTTTGACTAACATGGAAAATATCAAACCCAAGAACGTTGCTGCCGTTCACATCATGTTGGACATTGCTATTAGTGAGGGCAACCACTTGAAGTCCGCATGGACACAAGTTCTCACATCCATTTCTCAGCTCGAGCGTTTGCAATTGATTGCTCAAGGTGTGGACCAGGACTCAATTCCTGATGTTTCGGCTGCAAGAATGGTGAACAGAACATCCATTGACAGTACCACTTCATCAGGTTTCTTCAGCCTGTTCACTCCATCGCAATCCGCGTCCATGAAATTCCACAACCAACAACTTAGCCCTCAAGCTGCACAGCTTTTGTCCAGAACTGAGTTGAGTGTCGCTATGGATAAGGTTTTCACGAACAGTGCTGAGTTATCAGGTGAAGGTATCAAAGACTTTATTGAGGCTCTCAGTAAGGTTGTGTCCGAGGAGATCGAGTCTTCGGGCTCATCAGCCAATCCTAGAATGTTCTCGCTTCAGAAGGTCGTTGACATCTGTTACTACAACATGAGCAGAATTCGTTTGGAATGGTCTCAATTGTGGGCAATCATGGGTGAAATTTTCAACACTGTTGGCTGCAATGCCAATATTAATGTCTCGTTTTTTGCCTTGGATTCTCTTAGACAGTTGTCCACCAGATTTATGAACATTGAAGAGTTGGCACAATTCAAGTTCCAAAAGGAGTTCTTGAAACCTTTTGAGCATATTATTGTTCACAACCCCTCCCCTGATGTCAAGGATATGGTGGTCGAATGCATGAACAATTTGATTTTGGCAAATGCTTCTCAGATCAAGTCTGGTTGGAAGACAATTTTTAAGGTTCTCACAGCTGGTGCCCGTGAGAAGAAGGATTCCATTGTGACCAAGTCCTAC